GCTCCTGAAGTGGGGGAGGCAAAACCTGATCAGATTAAAACCACCTTGCAAATCAGAAGTAGTAACATACTCTCTACACACTGCCAAGATCCATTTTGAAGGAGGAAGTGCTGGTGAGATACAAGCATACAATTCTTACCAGAATTGTCAGCAGAAACAATAAACCCTGTGTATATAATTCAAGTGCTGTACAAACTGGTCTGTCTACCAGAAGGCAAAATGTAACAAGTGATGTATTTTACTAGATATGTTGAGAAGTAGTCCTGGTGATGCAGATGGAGCTACAGCCAGATACCCAGGGTATAGAGATCCAAGAGAGGAATCATGGAAGCCTGTGCCTAGATCAGAAACAAATGTTTGGTAGAAAAGAGCTGGCTTTTATATCACTGCCAAAACACTATTTGAACTGCCCTTGATAGTGTTACCAGAAAGTACCATAATGCCAACAGGCATTCTTGAGACTCATGGAAAATACATGCGCTGAGAGTTTTAAAGGTGGTGAGAAGTGAACATCGATGTCTCCTTCCTTACTAGCAGTAAATCCAAACTCCTGAATGTCACTGGAGAGCCAGAGCTTGGCTGGAAGTGCAGCGTGTCAACCTGGGTGATGCTGGCTGGGATCCATGCTTCCTCTGGCGTGCCAGTGATGGTATCTTATAGAATCATAGAATCATAGAATATCCTGAGTTGGAAGGGACCCTTAAGGATCATCAAGTCCAACTCTTGACACCGTACAGGTCTACCCAAAAGTTCAGACCATGTGACTAAGCGCACAGTCCAATCTCTTCTTAAATTCAGTCAGGCTCGGTGCAGTGACCACTTCCCTGGGGAGCCTGTTCCAGTGTGCAACCACTCTCTCTGTGAAGAACTTCCTCCTGATGTCAAGCCTAAACTTCCCCTGCTTCAGCTTAACCCCGTTCCCGCGGGTCCTGTCGCTGGTGTTAATGGAGAAAAGGTCTCCTGCCTCTCGACACCCCCTTACGAGGAAGTTGTAGACTGCGATGAGGTCTCCCCTCAGCCTCCTCTTCTCCAGGCTGAACAGGCCCAGTGCCCTCAGCCGTTCCTCGTACGTCTTCCCCTCCAGGCCTTTCACCATCTTCGTAGCCCTCCTCTGGACACTTCCCTGACTCATGGATACACCTTGCTGGACTACAGAAGCACGAAAGGCAGCAAGCACAAGTGCTTTTCTTGACACTGACTAGACCACATCTGCAGTACTGCATCTGCTTTGTGCCCCCCAGCACAAGGGAGGTACTGATAAACTGCTGTGAGTTCAGGGGAGAGCCACCAAGACAGGTGGGAGGTGAGCACTGCCTTGTAAAGAGGCTCAGGAAACTGGGCGTGTTCATCTCTTGGAAAAGAGGTGGCTCCAGGATGACCTAGCAGCAGCCTTCCCACACCTTTGAGGAGGTTACAGTGGGTTTGAGGAACAACAGGCATAGACTGGCACAAGAAAGGCCCTGACGTGATTCAAGGAAAAGGATTTCACAACAAAGACTGACAAGCATTGCAGCAAGCTGCCCAGGGAGGTTGTGCAGCCTCCATCCCTGCAGGTTTTCAACACATAGGATGAAGCCCTGAACAGCCTGGCATGCCCACACTGGGGACCCTGTTTTGAACAGGAGGTTGGACTAGGGACTCTTGAGGTCCCTTTCAGCCTTATTTATACTATGACAAAAAGTCATGGGGCTCTTATCAGACCAAACAAGATGAGTGGAGGGAAAGATGACAGAGTGACTTGCAATTACTCTGCTATTAATTGATGACACACATGTTTAGAATTGCAACACTGTGCTAATGCAGAAAGCCTCCCACAGCTGAAGGGTGGTGCACACGGCATGATGTCCCCTCTAGTTAGACTGGAAGCACACAGGTAACAGTGGGAAAGGCAATGCTTTAGGGAAGGGATGAGAAAATACGATTCCACATGGGCAAGAACTGCTGTCAGAAAGGCAGTAATACATGGGTAACTTCAGCTGTTAGTAAAGGTCACCAGCAATTACAGACAAAACGCTGCAGGAAAAAAGCTGTTGTGCAGGTAATTCCAGAGAGAGTGAGACAGAGAAATCAGGAGTGACAATGATATTTGGCGTGCTTTTCTTGAGATGTTAAAAGCAAATAGCTGACAAACACAGAAAAGAAATGAAAATGGCCAAAATCTTAATGTAAAAGGCATTCTTGAAAAACACCGTAATGGTAAATCAATAGAACGTTATATTGCCTCGGTAAAGTCTGTCCTTCTTTAGCATTACCTGGTGTTCGGAATTGGGGAAAAGAGAGCCATTTTTGACATGGTCCATAAAACGTAATTAAACTTTTCGAGTGAAAAAGAACAGAGAATTCTAAATAGCTACAGACTTGATTTAAGGACAGTAATTTACTACTGCTTTAATCGTTCTGCTCCTGAAGGAAAAAAAGCTATTAAGCGCACAAGAGACAGAGAGAAAGAGAGAGAATGAAGGTATTATATCTGCAAACTCAGTAACATCACATTCATACAGTCACTCTGGCCCCTATTTAATTATCTTTCTAATACTCACCCTCTTTGTCAGAAGCATGAGAAAAATATACTCTACAAGATGCAAAAAAGGTAGAATCTGTTCATATAAAAAATGCATCTTATCATGGCAAGCGTTCTCTGCTCAAGCAGTTCATGTCACTGAAAGCGTCATGCAAGCTTCAGACTGAATTCTACCTACAGCAAGAATTATGAAAGTATTTGACCAGATTTAAGCCCAAGGAGCATATTCTTCTACAACACGAGAAACATAAAACAGGACATGAGTTAGAAGGAAAAAAAAAAAAGTACATTGCTCCAAAAAAAGTGATGACATTCAAACTACAATGAAATCAGGTATATTTTTGCTATAATGCTGTTTATGGTTACACAGACAAATATTTTGGATAATCCATCAGTGAGCAAAAGCGAACCAGAGCTAGTACCAGAAGGTGAATGCCACAACATAATCCTAATATATAATAAATATCCTAATATCATAATAAATTTATTATTCCCTTATTTCACTCCAGTACACCCTCCTGACTGCACCTTTGTACTTGTACCTACACTCACAAACTCAAGACAGAAATCAGGCAGTCACCTAACCTCTCGCTTCCCTCAAGTTCCCTAAGAACAACAAACACAACCATATAAACAGCAGAAGAGGGAAAAATAGGGTTACATCAGCAGTCAGATGCAAGTCCCTTTGAGAAATAAAATCTTTTGAAACAGACAGTTAGGTTACAAACTATCATGGGAGTCACGAAAACATATAGGCAGGATCAGAGGAAGGTTGGTTGGAAGGAAGCTTTGAAGGTCACCAAGCCCAGCCTCCTGCTCAGAGCAGGACTAATGCCAACGCCAGACACCACTTTTCCAGCGAAGAGGCTGCGTTCAGCAAAACAGTGGGTGGGAGAGACAGCAGGATGTCTGGTGCAAAAACAGACCTGGTTTGTGCTCTGCACTCTCCGGAGGCACCTAGCCTTCCAAGTTGGAAATCAGCTAAGGAAACCATGAACTGACACCTTCACCTTCATGACTGATCCCTTCTGAAGGATAAAAAGCAGATACTGCAGGAAACCAAGTATTCAGAGCAACATTTCTACCCTGAATCTGACCACACATGTAGAGAAGGCACTGAAAGAAAAACTGTAAGGATCAAACAACATGACACATATTGATGTGACACATTCTCTTCTGCAATCGAGCAATGCTTTGTTCAATATTCCCGTAGCCTTAACCTCTTGAACAGAATCAAAGAAACTTGTTTGCAAAGTTGACGGTGAACATCACAGTAACTTGGAAAGCGAGGAATGAACAGGCAACAAGAATCCAAGCAAAATGAAGTTCTTGTACCACAGACATGAACTTCTTAATATTCATTGGCAATAGCATGCGGGTTCTCAGACATAAGCAACGCATTGGAAGTTAATTTCTTTAACACGTAAGCACCCTTGACAGTTCAGCTTTTGAGGTATTTGTTCTGCTTAATTTTACTTATTGATGGCAACAGAATGCTGTAATACGCTTGGCTAACAAGACACATTCATTTTAACGTAACTTGGACCTCACATACAGGGAGAGAGGAGATCAGTGCTGGCTGAGGATACATAGGGTTTAAAGGCAGTCTAGGTTCTTAAGGCATTTCTTAAGGGGAGGGGAAAAGAAAGTTGGAAATAAGCCCATTCAGATATGCTAAACCTGAAGCCTTTCTTAATGGCCTATGTCACGCTATGAACAATTTTAATTGTCAGGAAATTGCTTCTGCAGGTTGACTGAGTGCTTAAACTCTAACCTAGAAAGCATAAAAAGACAGGTCCACTCTTCATGTGGTCTGACATGACAACGGGTTGTACGGATTGATATTCCTAGTTGCGTCTCTGCAAGTTAAGCTCTATACAAGTTGCTGCCTTCGTATTCTCGAAGGACAGCGAAAGTTACAGCACTAGAAAATTAGAAAGCCCTAAAGCCAAAAACGAGGAAGTTAATTGCCTGAAGTTAACACAGACACAGCTAAATAAACCTGAAGTCGAAGCAGAAGGTTTACAACTCTCTAAAATGGAAAGGGATGCAGGGAAGGATGAGAAATTAAGTTCAGTGAAATGAAATACTCAGGAGGTTAGCCAAGATTAAAAAAAAGAAAAAAAAGAAAAAAAAATATATATGCAGTCCACACAACGCAGGGGAAGCAATTAGCGCTCCGAAGCGTTAACTTGTGAGGAGATTGGTAGCTTCGCTTCATCTTCCACACCTAAGCGGCTTTCTTTTGGTTCTCTCTCACATTTAAGAATCGTATTGCGGCCAAACTTCTCCCCTAAACCTCACAAGGTCTCCCCGGGAAGCTGAGCTCCCCGTCAGCGCCACAGCCTCCCTCAGCGCCCGCCCAACGGCCCAACCGCCCTCCCCTCCCCTCCCCGCCCGCTGATTGGCTGCTCCGGGCGCGGGGCAACGGCCGCTAACGGCCGCGTCACGCGCCCCCCCCTTGCCGCGCGGCACCCACCCGCCAGCGCTGCCCTCGCCTCACGGCGCCTCCGCTTCCGCCCGCGGCCGCGTCCCGTGTGGGCGGCCCGCGGCCGGTCCCGGGGGATAGGCGGCGGGGCGGGGCGGGGCGGGGAGCGGGAAGGGGAGGGGAGGGGAGGGAAAGGGGCGGCCCCCGGCCGGGCTCAGTCAAGCCAAGGGGAAAATGAGGAGAGACGGAGTTTGTTCCTGGCCTGCGGCAGGGACCTCGAGTCACCCAGTTCAAACACAAGCATCGTTATCACAGTTTAAATCGATTAAAATGATAGTAAAGCTTAGATTTGTTACATGGCCCCTGTATTTGCCTCTCGTTCCCCTGAAACTTAAGTTGGAACAAACCCTTGGCAACCCCACAACACCTCATGTTAAAAACTTGTCCTGAGTTGACCTGCTGACGATTTCAACATCTACAGGGGCTTTTTTCTAACAAATACAAAAATAAAGCCCTGAACCACTTGACACGGACCATCACAGACACACACCAACACCCATGCCCCGTACCACCCTGCAGCTCTCTGATACCAAGGTAACCTCTCCTCTGGTGCTCTGCAGCCTGTACAGCCGAATGCATCAGCTTCTTCACAGCGAGCGGACAGTCCTTTTTCCCCAAACCATCTAAATTGCCGTGTTTGTATGTTACTGGTACATAAAAACACTTCACCTTATCGTGGAGCCCAGCACATGGTCTGAAGCGGCTGTTACTCACAGTACCTGCAGCTTGGGGTGGTGGCACATGACAAACCAGAAGTCTGGCCACCTCTGCTTTTACATCAGAGGTTCAGTTGTGACCTCGCTGTTGGGTTCAGCATGCCCCCAAACACACAGTTGGTAGAGACTTACCACAAACTGTGAAAAGAAGCACTTCCAGTGAATGGGCCAAGTCAAGATTCATGTGAGGATCAACACGTAATGATAGGTATGCAAATGTACATGTGCTCAGATGAAATGAAGAATACATGCAGGAACCACCAAATAAAGATATTTAAAGTAAAACATGCAAAAAAAAAAAAAAAAAAAAAAAAAAAAAAACAACATCAGAACACAGAATCACATTTGACATTCTGATAGCTATAGCTTGAAATAGCAACTTCAATTTAAGACAAAAATCTCATCTTTGTAAATTTACAGTTGCTTTAGATTGCTTCCAAAGCAACGAACCACAGCAAAAAGTCAATTTAACAAGAAGTTCTTACCATTTATTGTAATTGCAGACAAGCTAATTATATGTAGAGCTAGACCCAAATGTTCAGTTAACATAGGCAGAGATTTGACATTCAGTTGCTTTATCAGTTTCATAAATTTAACTGTCTGCAGAACCCAAACCCCTCCTCATTTGTCTTATCCCATCCCCTCATCTAACTACTATAGCTCTGACTCTCAAGGCAAGTACCTACCACTTTGCCTCAATTCCAGTCTATTAATATTCTTGGTGCGAAGGATGGACTGTAGGAGAAGTATAGAGGACCAGATCAATTCATCTGAAAGCAGCAGAGTGAGGTTTTCTTCAGATATGTGAGCTGATCATCATAGTTGCCCTTTGAAGTTAGTGAAGAGGAATGACTGCTTCAAGCACAGGATGCCTCACATCTTTTTCTTTAGATGAATCATATTTCAGATTACCTGTTTTATTCCCATGGACAATACAGAAAAACTGGGATGAATAGCTCAGATGCAGATGTCTAAAATATGGAGGAATCTGTTTCCAATTAACAGGCCCAATATTTTTAACAAACAAAAGATTTTTATTTCCGAGTGCTCATACACACACAATCCACATCTCTAAGTCTTAAGTATGAAATTAAACAACAGGAAACTTCATGTACATGACATTGTTCTAGACATGAGAAAAACATACAATAAGGGAACTCTCTTGGAACTTTTTGGTGAAAAGAGGCTGTCATCTATAGCAATCAGTGTGAACATTTTTCTGTTCTGACTCCGTTCTGCGCATTGAATCATTCTGTATTTCTCTCTTCAGAACTATATTTGAACAAGAAAGCTTTGGGGAAAAAAAAAAGCATCTATGTTTCTTTATTTTCATACAGAATCAGACACTTTTCTATACCTTTCTTTTTATCCAGGGTGCCTGGTTTTGCACTATTCCAGGAGTCAGTTATGAGGTATAAGAAAACAAGAAAAGGATGATAATATAAACATTTCAATAAAGCTTACTGTATTACTTAGACTCTCAAAATAATTCTGAAGATAAAGTAAAAAATCCTTAGCATTCTTATGATTCAGCGTTCTTAAAGTCTTAGGAAATTTTTAATTGAAAAATCAGTTGTTTGTTGCTTTTTTTTGAACCCAATTTACGTCAACATTATGCACAATCATAAGTGTATCCTTATTACCATCATAGAAGTAATTACATTGAATTTCTATAGCACTAAAAATGATATAAAACAAATATCCCACCCCCCACAGTAACACAATAGGTGCCCAAAAACCAATTGAGAATAAATCCCATTGTCTGTATTGAAGAGTAAACACCATTTTCAAATGCCAACAAGGTATTCAGCTTGTTGGTGTATCGCTTCGGTTTAAGACTCATGAGTAGGAGGACAAACTGATTTCCACAGAGGAATTTCTGCAACAACTTCGGTTTGTAATGAGCTAGAGAGAATTCATACCCCATACATAATATTGATCTACTGGATTTCTGTAAATCTAACCTGGCAGCCAACAGGCACAAATATACATATGAACTTCATGATGAGAATAATAATTTAAACTCAATATGTCATATTCCAAATATACAGAAAAGACCTGATTATATTAAACATATATTTTCTGTTATAAACTAGCACGTCCAGCCAGATCCCAGCCCTTCAATACCTCGTGACTGATGTAGTTAAGTGTTCTCTGTATCTGATGCATGCCAGGCCTTAAAAGTGTGCTGTTTGTACTGAACATTGTATCAATTTCAGCACATTTTGGGTACAAAAGTCGGTAGTGACTGAACTATACTGGTTATCAGAAGATGACTAACCATACCGGTGCAGTGTTCTGCTGGACCAGTAAGGAGACTTACCAAAAAGCATGTTTATATCCTATAAAGACATTCAGAAACTGCTTTCTGAAACTTCTGTCTGGAAACCAGAAGAAGTGGATACAATGCATCAACTTGGGGCCCTACAGGAACCAATTAGCCCTGCTGAAAGATAGGGTGCATTAGCAGAACACTGCACGAATACAAACACATGCCTCTGGTACCTCAACTAAAATCAGTATGACAACATACAATTTGGGTATGTGCAATGCCGGCATATTCATTCATTCAAAGCCAAATTTGTGGTCAGTATTGCGTTGCCAGAGCCTTGCTGTCTTGATTTATAGTTAGTCTGGAAAGAATATTACATTAAAGTAGCTGCACTACTTTACCAAATGAGCTTTGTCAGAGGATGCTTGGGTAGCTCTGCAGTATTGTATTGTGCTATAGACACACTTGCTTCTTGAAGCAACTGTCATTGCAAAAAAAAATAATGTAAAATTAGCCTATTATAGGTTCAAGACACAGATGTAGAATATGTTAGTCAGCTGGCAAGGCCACACGACATACTGTCCTATGGCAGGCATTCCCTCAACATTTTAAGTCGTTCCACACATAGATGAGTTGTGTATGGGGAACATTCCACAATCTCCTATAACATAACCATTGGACTCATTAGGAAAGCTGCAAACACTGCATTGATCAATGTCTTCCTATGAGGGGAAAAAAGAAAGAACAAAGGAATGCAACAAGAGAGGCTAAATTCCATAGTTTTCACATCTGATAGCAATCTTCCAACCTTAAATACAACAAGCAAACAAATAAACAAATAAAATAGACATGTGATGTTTTCCTGAAGCAGGAATGTAAATACTGGCACAAGACAAACAACTTTGGACAGCCAGAGTTTAAACATGTATTAAAGCATAACACATTTTGAAAAGTGACACTGTATCAATGGGTACCATCTCTGAATCATCCCGCACCAACGTGATCAGCTTACACATTAACAGCTATGCTTATTTAACTGTCTCTTTCGCAAGCTCATGAGCCATGGGAGACAAAAATGGAATCAGAGTTCCTTCCAGTTCATACCTCAGTAGCCACGGTCAGGTTGTTTGCCCCAGAAATTTTCTCTTTATTTACCAACAATGTAGGAGCCAAAAGTTATGTCCTTAACCAGAAAGCACTGCAGTGCCTCAAGCCACAGGAATTAGCTCCTGTAGATGCTATTCTGTGTTTAGACCACCAACTGGCTGCGAGAGCTGATTTGTGGCCCAAGCTGTCTGTGCTAGATGAGGCTGGCCTGCAAGAACAGACACTCTAGCTTACCCCTCTGTCTTTTTAAACTTTGTCCTCTTCCCTTTGCTGCTTGCTAAAATCTTTGCCTTAAATCTAGGAGTACTTTCTTCACTCAAGCATACCTCAGCAGTATAGTGGCTGACAAACCTTTTACAGCACTCATTTACACCTGTACAAATCCTACACTTCAAATGGTGGAGCCAGAAACAAGAACAAGGGTGCAATTCAAATTACAAGAGCAAACTGATGTGCTGGAGAGAATCCATTCTTCCACTGTCTCCGCAGGACTGGCGGTAGAAAGCAGTAATAAAACTGAAGTGGACAGATATTCTTCATACTTGAACAGATCAGGGTTTAAACAGGAAATTGCACTTTTTTCCAGAAACACTTTCAGAAATAAAACTGCCTTCTGATATTCATCCTGCTACTAAAAAGTCAGATGAAGATATCAAATTGCAAGTGAAAGCAAATATTGCTATTTATTCACAGCTGTGAATCCATCTGCATCGCTTTCGTATACCTATAAAAGTGTCCTAAGGGACTTTAAAAGCAGTTCAGGAGAAAAAAAATAAAATAAAAAGATCCTCCAAACTCCAGCTGAAATGTTAGAATCTGTAGGAGGGCATAATTGGACATTCAAATGTGCATTGCTGGTGGTGGTGTTATTTTTGAGAAACAATGACTGAATCCTTTACATGGTCAAAAGTAACCATGTAACATTAACAGTAAACAGCATGCACTGACGACCTGAAAAGAAACATCAGGCACCGCCTTTCTTCTGCAATTG